GCTTGCTTTCCATTTTATGGAAGTTCATTTCTAGCTATTAGAGGGATGAAGAAAATGCAGCCATGTATGCCAGAGGCAGAAAGGCATTTCCAGAGAGTTTGAAACGATCGTTTTGAACTGAAAGGTGTCCCAGGCATTCCAAGTGGAGCCAAGAATAACACTTTCAATATTGATGTAGTTGAGAGTCTGACTCCTTTTTAAAGTATGGAAGCAAGGGGAGGAAGTATATCCAAAAATGTTCACCAATGTTCCCTAAGGCAGGAGGAGGAGTCACAAAGGGCCAGCCAAGGAAGGAGCAGAAGATATTTAAACCTTTAACAACAGGCAGTAAAACTGTAGTGAGGCATAAAATTTGTTCTACTTCTCTTAAAGGGCAGCTCAGCTTTCAGAAGTTTGGGAAATCCTCTATTAATCTTTGTGAAATCCACACCTAGACTAGGAAATGTTGAGGCAAGCCTTTAAATCCTAAATATGCCTTTGCATGTGCCGCTCTTGTCTAGGGTTTTGTGTATTTCCTTTATGCACAGAAAAATGCAGGAGATGCCATAGCAGTTTTTAATCTTTCTTTTATTTTCATCTACTGATGTTCAAATTAAACTCTGTTGAAACTTAGGAGATATAATTGTTTTAAAACTGTTTGTTGGTAATCTGAAGCCAATAAACAAATCATATACACTAGCATGTTAAAAATATGAACTGGTGACTCCTCTTACTATGCCAGTCATGTTGCCTACCATAAAAATGTGAATATGCTGAAGTAAATAATAATAATATTAACGGCACGTAACTCAGAACTGTTGACAGTGTATCCACATGTGCTTGGAGCTATATACATAGGTTAATTTACCTTCTGGTGAAACTTCTTGCTGTTGTGGATAGATGGGTTTCTTTTAGTAAGGCTTTAAACCAGACAGTTGCTTTAGTAAGGCTTTAAACCAGACAGAATGAGGGATGGTGTGAAGACACTGCCTTTTGGAGCAAGCTTATTTAAAGCCTGTTCAGGTTTAAAGCCTGCCGCACTCTCATGGAGAACTCGACTAGGAGGCTTGGCTGAATGTTAATGCAGCTGTTCACTTAAAAATGCTCTTGTTTCTGTATCTTTGTCACAATTGCTAAAGAACAGTATTTCGTTTAAGGCAGCCCCAGCTCCCCAAACTGGGGGCAGGCAGGTGGCCAGAGCCCATCCAAGCTCCCAGGGTCATTCATGGCTGTGCTGGAAGAGCTGAGTGACTGGGGGGATCACAGGAGGGACTAGGGGGTCCCCCCCCATGGCAGGGGACCGCAAAGGTCTTGGGAGGGAGTGGGGGTGTGATGAGAGGACCTGGGTGAGGAGTTCATGGGGGGGCTGTGGCAGTGTGAACCGTCATTGGGACAGGCTCTGGGGTAGGCTCTGGGATGGGGTGCTCGGGGCCCAGGAGGCAGAGGCACAGCAGAGGCTACGGAGGGGACCACTGGTGCCCAAGCAGCTGTTTTTCCCAAGTATTTTTTTCTCTGCTACCTCCATTCAAACCAGGGTCCAAAGAGCGCTGCATGGTGGGACAGTCACTCTGGGATACCTGATTTTGAAAAATCCTGATTTTGAAGACACCAGTCTATGAAGATGGTGATGGTCACTCATGTTTTACGTCCACTGTCTCTAAGTCACCAGTTACCATCCAGCCCAGCGCAGCCTGAGCCCCTCTGGCCCATGGCTGCGGGTTGCTTTCCGTGACGGAGGGAGCAGTC